AAATTAAAAAAAAATTTAAAAAAAAAAAATAAAAAAAGTTTACCTCATTTGGGAAGTGTATTATTCTCTTCAATTAAATACATGTCCATAGGTATTGACTTTTTGAAAAGGCCGGGGAGATAGCTCAGTGGCTTAAGTGCCTGCCTAGCAAGTATAAGGCCCTGAGTTCTGTCCTCAGTACCAAAAAGCAAAACAACAAAAACAAAAACAACCCCCCTCCAAAAAAAAAAGAACAAAAACAGACAAACAAACAAAACCTGAGAAAAACAATTTAAAGGAGGAATTGACTTTTTGTTTGTTTTTGTTTTTTGGTGGAACCGGGGATTGAACCCAGGCCCTTGCACTTGCCAGGGAAGCACTTATTCCACTGAGCCATCTCCTGGCTGGAATTGACTTTTTGATAGGAAAATAAAAAGAAAAATGAGGGTTGGTATTTTTCTTGTAGTTTCCATGTTGGAAACCTCCTGTTTCTCTAAGATAAGTAAGACTGTGAAGGAGAATCTTTAGAATAATGGCATGTGTGTGTATGGTTCCAAGAATACACACCCAATAGGATGCTTGCAGGAGTACCTTCCTGAGTGGCTATGAGAGAAATTGGAGTGGAGAAAAGCCACTCTGTTTCTACTGGAGAAATAAATTCAGCTACCTTGCATTTATCAGCACCTGTTTGTTGTTCAATGAGGACATCCTATATCCTGTGAGTTAGGGTCTCCTGTTTGCTAAGGGAAGATACACAAAAAAACTGTCAGGTGCATTAACACAGGATTAAGAAGCGCATGTTTAGCAATATGCAATCAGGTTCCAGGAACTGTGATCTTGGATAGCTAATGGCAGTTTTTTATGTATGTGAAAGAAGGTATTCAACCTGTAATCCCAGCAACTAGTGGAAGTGGAGGCAGGATTGCTAGGCTGAATTCAGCATGGACAATTCAGTGACTTCATGAGGCTTTGTCTCAAAATAGAAAATTTAAATAGGGCCGTGGATATAGCTCAGCGACCCGCCTCCATAGCCAAAAAGTTATACAGAATTTCCTTATACAGCTGAAGTAAGAATATAATGACGTAAGACACCCCAAATTCTTACCACACGGTAACTGTCATATTGTCATCATTCATTCAATTTGGTGCTCTTAACCTGAAAAGGTGGTATAATTGCTATAATAGAAATACATGTAAGCACTTTATGACCTTTGGAAATAGTGATAGGAGATACTGGAAATCAATACAGTTGATATCTTTTAAAAATAGAGGAAAAGAACATTTATATCAGAATTTAGAACTTCAAGAAATTTGTTTGGGAAATATTGCGTTTGTGTTGATTCAGAACATACATGTAAGTAATCAAATGACACACGTGAGAGCCAGATTTCTTGTTGATCTTTGGGGAACCAAAGTGATGTAAAGAAGTGTGGAGATCATTTTGACAACTGGGTTGAATCTGGGTGAGAGTTTAAGCAAAATAAAATTGAGATTTTTTTTCCCCAAGCTTGATGATGTATTACCACTTTTTAACCTAGAGATCATCGGAAGAAGGTCGTATTTGGAGTTGGTGATAAAATTTGTTGTACCAGAAATGCTTACCTCTCAGAATTACTTCCTGGAAAGCTTTCTGAAACTCAGCCAAATAGTGATCTTCAGCCCAACGGTGAAGGCTTTTGTGGTACTCCTAGTGATTTTGCTAAAAATAAGCATGAACCTGAAAGTGATATTCGACTATGTAATGGAGAGATATTTTTCATAAGAAACGTAAGTGTCAGAAAATAATGCCTTTGTACCATTTAGAAAGATTTTTTTTTCCTGTTCTAGAATTTATTCAAAATTTAATCATACCATGGCTGACACTTTTATTCGAAGTTTTCTTTTTAAGGATTTTTGCATCCATGTTCATGATGAATATTGGTTTGTAGTTTTCCAATAATTGATGGTTCTGGTGTCAGAATTGTGCTGGAATGATTGAGAATTATTGAGTGGGGAAGTATTTCTTTCTTTCTTTCTTTTTTTTTTTTTTTTTTTTGTAGTTTTCTGAAAGACTTTGTGAGGAAAATATTAATAAGTTTGAAGTGCTCGAGTCACAAAAAAACAACCATAAGTGATTGTTTCCTTCACTGTAGCTTACATGCAGAAACTGTGGAAGTGATTGCTTTCTATTTATTCTCATTATGTAGATACTATCCTAAGCTTGTAATGGTCTTAAAAAGCTATGTGGAAAAATACAAAGAAAAACAATATAGTGAATGCTGCATGGAGCTTTTATATGAGAAGCAGCAGTACCTGCGTGACAGGTGTCAGCTTGTTCTGTGTGGTGTGCGTGTGGTGAGCTGTGGATGGGAGAAGATGTGTTGTAAGGTGTGCCGTGTACCATGTGTTATGGACAGTGCATTTCGTTGGGATAGCACTACCCTGCTGTTTCAGAAGCTGGATTTTAATGAAACGTTGGTGTAAAAGGTGAAACTTTGGTCTGTGATTTGGATCTGACAACAGAATTCAGAGTTTGCAATGAAAATCACCTGATTGTCATGTGAAAATAGGGCACCAATCAAGACCTAGTGCGAAGGTTTTGTTGATTGTGTTTTTTGACCTTGAACCAACTCTATAAGCTGAGTTTGTATCCAAAAACACTTGTGAACTCTGAATATTATACAGGTTTATTAGAACTTCTAGGAATTATGTGTGTAGGAAATGGCCTGAGAAATGGGCCAATAATTTGTTTTTCTTTCTTTTATGTATTTGGTACAGGGTCTCACTACGCAGCTCAGACTCGTAGTGAGCCTCTTGTGTTCAGTCTCCCCAGCACTGGGATTACAGGCGTGTGCCATCATGTCCAGTCTCAGTAGCCATTCAGCACATCTAGGTGCAGGACCCGCACGGCATTTGGTGTGGGGGATTGAACCCTGCTCCCTGCACTTGCCTAAGCAGGTGCTTAGTCCACTGAGCTATCTCGCCATCCCTAGGGCCAATAACTTCATCCTCCATCATGATAGTACCCGTGAAATGGCACAACTTGCTTTCAGAATGGTGATTTCTATCAAATAAAAACATCACAGTGTGTCTTCATCCACCTAAATCATTGGATCTGACACCTTGTGACTTTTAGCTCTTCCCTAAAAGGAAAATGACCACAAAGAGTGAAATTTTGAGTCTATTTAGCAAAGTGGTAGTGAACCTATGGCCTGTGTGGCACAGCGGGCTGTTTGTTATTATTGAAAGTTCTGAAGGGTTTGCCATCACTGGTTTAGGATATTGGGTCAGCGTAACTGAAGAGATTCAAGAGAGAAGACTTCCAGTACTGCTCCAGAAAGGGGCAAAATGATGGGATAAGTGAGTTTGAAGCAACGGCAGTATATTGAAGGGGAGCGTATGTCTTACTGCAATGTATTTTAGCAGATGTGAACATTCACCCTATGTTTTGATCACACCTTGTGCTATCTGAAGTTTGAAGGGCTGAAAACCTCTGTGATTATATTTCAGTGGAGACATTTTCAACTAAGGATGGATTGCAAGCCTTTTGAAATTGATCATTGTTATTCTCTTGGTGGTGCTAGAGATAGAACCCATGGCCTGAGGTGTGCTAAGCTCATCGTCTCCCCCGAGCCACACTCCACCCTGAGCTTCTTAAAATTCATAATTGTAATACCGGGGCTTCCATTCTACCTTCAATCCAGTGACAGAATATCTTTATTGTGTGCATACTTGGCGTCTACAAAGCAGTTCTTTGATTTGCTCGGCAGGATGTAACTGATGTGACTCATGGAAAGAGAAGACATCTGACTATTAATAATATGGCCGGCTTGGAAGTAACTGTGGATTTTAAGAAACTAATGAAACACTGTGCCATAAAGCATGCCTGGGCGAGAACTATCCACACTTTTCAGGTAAGGGTGGTATTTTGTAAGACTATATGCGTAGCCAACCGAGCCATATAGTACTTTGCATTATTTTCTTTTTAAACTTTGGTTGCAATTTTATTATTATTTGCTGTGATGGGGAACTGAACACAGGGCCTCATGCAGGGTAGGGAAGTATTGTACCACTAAGCTACATTTCCAGCCTTTGGTATTATTATTTTTTAATTAACAAACTGTTCAAGAGTGTAGGAAACCATAGACAGACACTTGTCTTTTGTTCTTTTTGCTTGGGGTTCTCTTTCCTTTCAGGAGCTAAGACATTAGAACTGTAGTCTAGTCCTGCTGGTCTTCTGTGCCCTACCTCAGCCTCCAGTGAGGCCTGGATGACAGTGTACTAATGTGGCCTTTATGTAGAATTGCATAGTTCATTAGGAGTCTTTCTGTGCTTTATTATTGATTTTTTAAAATGTTACCTAGAACCAGACTGGCTGACATATGCTTATAATCTGCATACTCTGGGAGGCTGAGGCAGGAGAATTGCAAGTTTGGGTCTCAGGGGCCATTTAGAAACTTAGCAAGAACCTCTTCTCAAGGTAAAAAAATTTACCAAGTGCTGGTATGTGACTCAGTGTGAAGGACCTGGATTCAATTCCCAGTACTGCTAAATAAGAGTAAAAATATTACATTAAAATATTATTAGTCTTGATTTCACAATTCCTTGGCACCTGTTAAATTTTACAGTTGAGTAATCCTTAGACCTGCATTTCACTTTCATCAGGAGGTGGCTTCTGTCCTGTATCTGTTGTGTGTCATTTCTGTTCCTATAGAAACAATTTCTATGTAAATCTTTCTGTATTAAAAAAAATGGCGTCAGGTTTCTGTACTTTTTCAGAAGAGTGAGAAATAACATATGCATATAAAATGTATTTAGCTTTTGTATAATCAGGTATCATTTTAAATATCTTTTTTTTTTTTTTGGCAGGCTTAGCCCACCCTGGGGGCAGGGCTGGCACAGCATGTGATGCTGGGGATCGAACCATGGTCCCTGTGAACTTGCCTATGCTTGCCTAAGCAGGCACTTTAGACCACTGAGCTAGCTTGCCCGCCCAATCATGTATCATTTGGTTTTTGTTTTTGGTCTACTCAGTTTTGTTAGAATATACTCTGCATATAATTTCAATTATAAAATTGAGCAACTTTTAAAAAATATTATTTCCCTCCAAAAAAAAAAAGGGGAGAAAGAAGGGTTTATGAGGCAACTCCTTTTTAAAAATTTTAAACCTATGTAAGAATGATGTTAGAGTTACAGAAGAGTGGGAAAGACAGTATGGAGAGTTACAGCATACGCTTTACCCAGCTTTCTCTACTCATAACATTTTATATAACCATAATATATTTGTAAGAACTACGGAATTCCCATTCTCGTACATAATACCTTACACAGTATGTATTGCACTCGGATTTCACCCATTTCCTCCCTAATGTTCTTTTTATCCTCTCAGATTCAATTCATGGCACCAACTGCATTTAGTGTACCTTGCTCTTCACCTTTAATACTCATACATCTCTGTCAACTTTTAGTGGGCTCTGTTATTTGCCTCATTGGCTTGAGCTTCCCTCTCTGCTATTGGCTGTTTCAGTGGGAAGGTTGTATTGATCTCTGTTTTTATGCAGAGAGATTGACATTAGCTGTTATCTTCTGTTGGGAGACATATTGATGAGCATAGGGAATGTTTTATTTTCAGGTGGATAGTATTTCATTTATTAACATGCTTCATCTCAGTTTCAAAAGAATTTGAAATAGCTTACAAAAATGCCTATAATTCAGTGTGGTGTTTTTCAATATTCTTTTTTTAAAAAAATATTCAGTACAGGGTCTACAGGGTCTCACTACAATAGCTCAGATTTGTAGTGATCATTCCTGTTTTTCAGCCTCCTAAGCACTGGGATTACAGGTGCACACCAGCATGCCCAGTCTCAGTTGCCATCTCAGCGCACCCCAGAGGTGGGGCTGGTGTGGCAGGCCTGGGATTGAAGCCCAGCCCCTGTGTCTGCCTAGGCAGGTGCTTTAATTAGTGCAGTGTTTTTAAAAAGAATAAGAAATGATACTCAGAGGAAAAACAAAGGTAGGGGAAAAAAATAGGTGGCAGAGACGTGGTCTTCCTTCATGTCTTTAAAAAGTCAGTGACAAGGCCGGCCAAATAGCTTAGCAGATGAAAGCGCCTGCAAGCAGGCACAGGGCCAGGGATTCGATCCTCAGGCCTGGTGCTGGCCCCACCCCCTGGTGCCTGCTGAGACTGTGAATGAGACTGAGCATGGTGCCGCGTGCCTGTAATCCCAGCTCTTGGGAGGCTGTAAACAGGCAGATCACTACGATTCTGATCTAGTAGTGAGACACTGAACACCCTGTTGACCCTTCCCTAAAAATACAAAAAAAAAAAGGGGGTGGGGTCAGGGAGATGATTCAGTAGAATAAGTGCTTCCCTGGCAAGTGCAAGGGCCTGAGTTTAATCCCTGGTTAAAAAAAAAAAAAAAGAAAGAAAATCTAAAAGTCACTGACAGAAGAATTAGAGTGTGTAGGGAAAGACCCAGGTGAGCAGCAGGCACTAAGATGGACTGGGTGGTGGCCATGGGCCAAAGGACATGGACAGGACCTCAAGGAATTTTCTTGTGCTGGATGGAGCCCTGTTCATGGGAAAGATGTGGGAACAGGTCAGGGGTCAGGGCTCAGGCTGGCTCCTGAAGGGCCTCTGGGCATTTTAAGGGACTAGAACTCAGGAGCCATTGAAAGGTTGTAAACGGAGTTCCGTGTCACTGGACTTGCAGGTTTACAGTGTCCCTGTGGCTGCTGAAGGTGATGCATTGGAACAAGTGTGCAAGTGAGATTCAATCTGAGACGATTCCTTGCCTGTTCCTACTGTTTTTCTAAATGTTGTTTAATTGACTTACATTTCAGTAGATGTTTATGTGTTTAAGAATACATGACATAAAGGCTAAGGGAGAGAGCTGGCATGTATACTGTCTTTATGTAATCAAGTACCATGGAAGTCCATTTCTGAAATTGAAAACCTTTGGAAAGAAGTATTTATCAAACTTCTATAGTCTGAAGAAGTGGTTCAAACTGCCTAACGGGATAAAGAGCTTTCTATGGAGGGGTCTTCAGTGGGTCTGTGTTTCTCGCACACCTCAACTTCTCGGTTGCCTTTCCATAGCTCCCCTTTGGCAAGAATGATCAGAGCAGTGGATGAGACAGTAGTTCCAGTCACATCTTTTTTTTTTTTTTTAAATCTTTTTGAGACAGGGTCTCGCTGTGCAGTTCAGACTGGCCTTGAGCTCACTTTGTAGCCCAGGTTGGTCTCGAACTCGCAACAATCCTCCTGCCTCCATCTCCCAAGTGCTGGTGTGTACCACCACACCCAGCCTCTGGCCACATCTTTAACCACTGTGAATAGTTACAGATTGTGCAATTGTGTTCTTGTAGTTACATGAGCATCTTGAGTATTTTTCTTGCCTATGCAGTACTGTTTGCTGAACTTCAAAGAAAAAAAGTTAATTGTTCTCTTGTGCATCTTCATAAAATTAATAAATGATTTAACAATGAGAAAATATAGCAGAAGCAAAATAATCTCCCTGAGCCTCTTCATTTTGAGATAATTAAAATTTTGATGAAAACATCCTTTTTATTTTATGGTGTGTATTTATCTTTTTATGTACTTTTTTTTTTTCTTTTTTGGTGGAACCAGGGATTGAACTCAGGCCCTTGTGCTTGCCAGGGAAGTGCTTATTCCACTGAGCCAGCTCCCTGGCCCCTTTATATACTTTTTTGGATCAGAGTACTTTGTTAAATAATTGTGGTCATTCTCCATGTACAGCATTTAGCTTTTAAAATTTTGTTATAGTTTGAAAGTATCTTTTTTTTTTTTTGGTGGAACCGGGGATTGAACTCAGGCCCTTGCGCTTGCAAGGGAAGTGCTTATTCCACTGAACCATCTCCCCAGCCCCTTGAAAGTATCTTTGAAGGGGCCGGAGAGATGGCTTAATAGAATAAGCACTTGCCTGGTAAGCGCAAGGGCCTGAGTTCAATCCCCGGTTCTGCAAAAAGAAAAAAAAAAAAAAAAAATGCGCTCAGTAGACTAAGTGCTTGCCTGAAAGTATCTTTGATATTTGCAAACTCAAATGTGTAGATGTATATAATATCTATTGATATATATTTGCATACATATATATTATTAGACATTTGTGGAATACTTTTTTGCCATTTTAAGTAACACTAGGATAACATTTTACACATAACGTTTATATAGTCATTTGCAAGTCTTCGATTGGGGAAAATTAGCACTGTATGCTGTCTTGCAAGTCTTTGTTGCTCAATTTCCAAAAGCCAGTTGTAGATCCGTGAGACATGAATTTAGCTTCTTATTTAGCAAACATGGGCTCTGAGCTCATGAATAACATTGGACAGATCCATGGAAATGTGCCGGCCAGGCAGAGGGTGCATGAGGATGGGGAAGGGCCCTCTTCCAGAGGGTGCATGAGGATGGGGAAGGGCCCTCTTCCAGAGGTGCAAGTGCCATAGTCTTCACACCATTCTTGCCTCCTAGGGGTCTGAGGAGCGCACAGTGGCCTACGTGGTGGGGAAGGCGGGCCGCCAGCACTGGCAGCACGTCTATACCGCCGTGACCCGGGGCCGCTGCCGAGTGTACGTCATTGCAGAACAGTCTCAGCTCCTGAAGGCCATCAGGAGGCCTGTTCTTCTCAGGAAAACACATCTGAAACATTTCTTACAAGATGAGCTCGCTGTCAGATGCGCCTCTCCCGTTGATCATCTGTCCCAGCCTGCGAGCTCTGGAGACAGTGGAGGACCCAGCCTGCCAACAACACCCCTTCCCAAAGACGCCACCACCACTATTGCAGATGATGTCGCCAAGAGCCAGTCCTCCTTCGCTGATGTCAGCATGGCCACCCCTCCTAGAAGGTGGCAGTTTACTTCATTTGAGGAAGGAAGTACAGATGAGGACTTTTCACCATCTCCTGGGTCCAAAAGAACCCCTAGAATGGACATCTGTGACAGTCTAAACAAAGTTTGCAAGGTAGGTGTGATACTCGGATACACTCAAGTTTTATTTCAGTATTGCTAATTTGAGTGTGCTTAGGAGTGAACTTGTACCTCTGTTACCTTCTGCCGTAGCACTCAAAACAACTTCTCATCCCTGCCAAGCTTCCCCTCTTGTGTGCTCTGTTGATCCTAGCATCATTTGTCACTTCCTGAGGCTCGCCCTCTAGGCAACCTCCAGGGATTGATAGAGCTATCATAAAAGCTCCTTGTCACTCTGCACCTTCTTTGCGATGCTTCCTTTTCTGTACTTCCTCTTCCTAGGCCATAATCTTCCCTTACCCCATGATTTCATTGCAGTGGTTTACCTGTTCTTTTTGTCAACTTTAAGGACCTTCTTCTTAGGTCTTGTTCTTGAATTTTCTCTGTGATATTTTTCTTCCCTTTGCAGTACTGAGGATTTGAAACCAGTCCATTTGCACTGAGCAACATCCTCAGCCCTTCTGAAATTTTGACACAGAATCTCACTAAGTTGCTAACCTGACTATGTTGATTTCAAACTTATGATCCTTCTACCTTAATCTATTCAAGTGCTGGGATGTATATCTCTTGCCATTTCATTGTCCCCTTGGTTACAGTGATGCCCAGTGTAACACTTTCCCTACAGTGTCCACTCCCCTTTCATTTCCTCACCATTTCCTCCCCGCATCTCAATCTGAGATATTTCTCTTACAGTTTCAGCCTTCCCCTTTGTACCAATGATTGTGCATCAAAGTCTAAACTGCCTGTGACATTCCAGGTACTGGGAACTAAAGATAAGTAAGTGACAGTGTTCACTCTTAGCACTCCTTGCTGGTGGTGCAGACAGACATCTGTGTAAGGAACTTGGTGATTCACTGAGAGCTCTGGTGCTGAAGAGCTGTGAAAGAACCTTTCCCTCATTCATGACTACTTCTGGAGATTGACATTTCTAGCACCACGACCCAACACCATACTGTCTATCCCAGTTTCCCAATTTCAATCACCTTTTTCTTAGTTACCCAGCTGAATCCTCGGAGTCACCTCAGACTCATCTTGCCATTCAGTAATCGCTGCTTCCAGGTAGTTAGCTTTATTGCACAATATCTTTGTCAGAAAAAATTTCCCTTTTATCTGGTCTGCCCTAATGCAAGTCTTTATCTGATCTTCTTGGGTGATTGCTGACCTGTCCCTCCATCCTTGCCTTGGTACTTTTCTCCTGAAACACCTCATAAACTGTTAGCTGATTATCATCCCACTTGAGTGACCAGCTCATTCTTTTGTGCAGAAGCCTTCATTGGTCGTAGGTACCTACAACTCCAACCCTAACCTATTCTGCTTGATACTTGACAATGTTTGATTCCAGCGTCCCCAGGAGCAGTCCATTTCTCACCATTGTTTTTCCAGTCTAGTCAAACTAATGTCTTCTTCCACTAAAATGAAACAAACTTTTTCTTGTGTCTTTCTTTTGACTTTTGCCCTTTAAAGATGGAGTCTGTACAACCTGCTGACTGATGGAAGGGGTGAAAAGAAAGAGTAATCCAGAGAAATTCCTTGATTTCTAGCTGAAACTGAGAATGTAATTTCCTGAGATGAGAAAGTCACAAGGAAAACTTGTTTGGGGAAAGAGTCTTGTGATGGGCTGTGTTTCCAGTGCAAAGTAGACATGTAGGATTATAAGCTAACTCCAAGTGTCATTCCAACAGAAGCTCAAGAATTTCTAGTGTGGCACCCACAGACTTGTTCAGTTTTCTGCTGCTGAGGCTATAATAAAGATAAGGTGTCCCAGAGGACAAAGTGTTCCTGTAGCCCACTCACTGTGAGCTAAGCAAAGGGGGAATGATCATGCGCTGTATCCCCAGCTAGGTATGGGACAGTTGACCAGTTCTCAAAAGAGTTGTCTAACATGGGTCAGCATATGAAATACAGACCTGCTAGGCAGCTACAGGTACAGAACTACAGGGGAGAGCACTGGGTGAAACAGAAGTGGGGGGGGGGTGCTGAGGATGCAGGCATAGTCAGGAGGGACAGACAGGGGATTTTCAAAAGAGATTTTTCCATTCTTATTGCTGTGAGAACAATAGAAGATGTCTTCTCTGTAAAATAAAATTTAGCAAGGTGGCCTTGACTGTAATTGAGTGGGTTGTGGGTAGGAAGATCCTGAGGAATGAGTCCCCTAGGTTCTTTCAATAGTCAAGCACTAGTGATGAAGATGGAGAAGAGCTGCTAAAGGACAGTTAAGAGGTCCTAAGGATGAATTATACTGAGCTGTTGGGATTGGGGCCAGGATGGCTTCTGGGCAGAGCCAAAGGTAGATCCTGGCACCACTACATAGGATTGGGAAAAGAGTTCAGGGGACAGGCTTTGTGGGCAGAGTGTCAGATGTGTATGTAGTGGGAAAATTGTTGCTCCATTTTCTCCTCCTGATTCTAAACTGCATTCTTCCTCCCAGATCAACTAATTAGTATGGAACTTCCATGTTAGTGAAGCATTTCTTTCTGAAAATAAACTTTTAATTTCTTTCTGCTTTTGAACCAGGGTCTCACTATGGAATCCTGGCTCGCCTTGGACTTACTATGTAGCCCAGGGTGGCTGCAAACTCACAGTGATCTTCCTGCCTTAGCCTCCTGAGTGCTGGGAATAGAAACTTGTGCCACCATGCCCAGATTGAGCTTATTTCTTGAAATGATCCTAGAAGGAGGCTTTTGAGCTGGGCAGCAAAGAGACAATTCCAAACAAATTCTTGTGTTACATTCCTGAATGCCAACATGGGGTGGAAGATATGGCTTGGCATGATGGTACCAAGAAAAAAGTAGTTCAGAGCCTGCCAGTTTTTAAGCTGTGACTGAGGCCGATATTATAGTTCCACGAACCCAAACTAGACACTGGGCATTCATCTAGGGTTAGCTGATGGTGCTGCATGGTGGCAGAAGCACGAAGTTCTCCAATGGAAGAGGTGTTTTCTCACGGCATTTATGGAAAGTATCTAACATCTACTACAGGAATTCTTTGTTACAAATAAGGAAAAAGAATCCAAATATATAAGACTGATAAAATGGGGAGTTCTAGGATTCCAGAATTCTAGACATTCAGGTGCACTGACAGGTTCAATGACAAGGGCTGGTCATGTACCCTTCCTTCCCATTCATATCGTTACCTCGGAGCCAACCAGCAGCATTTCTATTCAACCAATACAGTTACACATTGTTTACTGTAAGAATAAATGCTAAACCACATGTGGAGGCACACACCTGTAATCCTAGCTCCTCTGGAGGCTAAAGGCAGGAAATTTGAAAGTTTGAGGCCAGCCTGAGCAACTGAACGAGACTTTGTCTCAAAATAAAAAATAAAAAATGAGGTGGGAAGCTAGCTTAGTGATAAAGTACCCCTGGGTTTGATCTTCAGTATTGCAGAAACAAGAAGCTAGACAAACAACCAATAATCACGACAAAAATTTTAAAACTTTGATAAGTTCAGAGAAGTTCATCATTAAGTGACTTTTTGTTGTTCTGCAAACATCACAGTGTCTTCACACCAGCGTAGGTGGCACAGGTCAGTAACTCAGTGTGGCCTTTTGATGTCGTCAGGACGCAGTATTGTGAGAGTAAGATGCTTGGGGCTGCTGTTGGTGTCACTCAGCAGACTGTTTTATAGTAAACATTTTATTGTAAATAAAAGGCTGCACTCTTAAAATAAGTTAAACTATAGCAAATATATAAACTATAATGTAATTATTACCAGGTACTCTGTCCTGTACCTAGTTGTATGTACCATGCTTTCTTGACTGGCAGTGCACTAGGCTTGTTTACATCAGCATCACCCCAAATGCTTGTAAAACCTATGTAACAACTTTTTAGCTCCATTATAATCTTAATCTGTAGTCTTCGGTTGACTGAAATGTCTCTATGGGGCATATGACCATACTCAATGACAGAGCCTTCCCAGATCAAAGCTTTTGTTCTTTTTAATGAATTCATGTCTTTGAGTTTTAGAAAAAGTCCTTAACCTTGACCTGATATTTTGCCTCATTACCCCACTCCTGGAAAAAAAAGAAAAGAAAATAGAAGTGTTCCTTTAGATAAAAACATGAATAAGTACTATTTAAATGTGTCATATAAATCAGTGATTTTCAGATTTTAAAACAAAAATCACATTCTATCACAAAAATGAGGGAGGACATAGTCATATAATTTCTGAATAGAGGGCAGTCCTTTTCTTAATCAAGGTTCGCCAGAGAGACAACCATTAGATATGAGTATCTGTCTGTATATCTATCAGAATGGAATTTATTTCAAGGAGTTAGTTCACGTGAATATAGAGTGGCGAATCTGAAATTTTGATCATGCTGAAATAGGAATCTGAAAGCAGTCTTCTGGTAGAATTCCTTTTTCCTTGGGGGAGGACAGTCTCTTTTCTAATAAGGCCCTCAACTGATTCATTGGATGAAGCCTACCCACCGAAGACTAACTAATCCACTTTAATCCAGATTAACTGATTTAAGTGTTAATCTCACCTAAAACATGTCTTCGCAGAAATATCTGGAAGAATATGCAACTGGATATATGGGTATTATGGCTTTAGGCACATTGGCACATAAAACTAACCACCACAGTGCTGTAAAATGAGTGTAATTAATTGGGAAGATCAACTGTTTATTTTCCTCATTTTCTATGATGGCGAAACTTCATGATCACGCTAGCCTGTTGAGTAGTGTGTGGGAGTCAGTAGTAATATAAAGAACATGATGCTGGCCTTGGAGCATTGCACCTTCCTGCATGCAGAGCTGTGTTCCTGAGCACATAATCTGGGCAGCTGTACAGGACCATGTGCTTGGGACCTATGTTTTTAAATTGCTCATTAGTACATTAGTACAATCTTGAAATTTTTAATGTTTGAATAAGGAACCTTTGTTTTAATTTTGTACTGGACTTGCAACTTAGAAGCAAACCCAGACCATACCTTTGGAAGTTAACACATGTACTTATTTAGTAAATAGTTACTTTTACATGCTGGACCCCAGACTGAGGGCTGCAGACTCATGGTGAGCCACAGGAGACGTAATCCTTGAAGAGCTACAGCGTACTGCTCTGGTTGGTCAGGCATTGCAAGGTTTGGAGGAAATGTATTATTTCTTCTTCAGAAAGAGTTCAAGGGAATAGAAGTACATAGGGTGGACTGGGTATATTCTTATAAAACTAAGTTTATTCTTATTGTTCTAATAGGTGGAAGAAGCATCTCCACAAGTTTCTTCTCAACTTCAGAATTTGAGGCTAAATAAATTAATCCCGAAGCAACTTTTTAGGCCCACGAAAGATCAAGAAAACTTCACTTCAGATGGTCCAAAGTAATCATGAATTATTTCCCATTCAAAACCAAAGAACGTTTTAGCCTCAGAGTTTCAAGATGAAGAAGGATCCCTATACATTGGATTTTTTTACTTCAAGATAGTTGTGTTTAGATGTTTTAAATTGACTTGGTCAAAAGAATCTTCATGATTCCAAATCTATCATTGCGGTTACTGTACACCAATGAAGGGGAAAAAGAAAATATGTGTTCAAAAAAACTGCTATACTTTCAAATATGCTGTATTTTTTTAGGATGATGTTTAACTTCCATGATCATGGCTGGTTCCTTGGCCAGTGGGTGGAAGTCCTGGCCAAGGTGAACTCACTATGCCTGTTGATACCGACACACACACTCAGGGATGTCCTGGTCATGTCCAAGGTTGCTGTTTACTGGGTCTCTGCTGTTGAGGCCCAGCACACCCGGGACTTTTCCTGGAAATCCCTTCGGAGTCAGGGCATGTTGTTTTGAACACATCCCACTTGGGGAATATTTCTTGTGGTTTGATTCTAAATTTTAACTGTTAAAAGGTGCTGTAGTTTTTGTGTCCCAAAGTTCATGTGCTGGCAACTTAACTTCTAAGCCCCTTGGGCCGCAGGGTGAGATGCTGCGCTCCTGAGCGGGTCAGCAACTGGAGCAAGGTGTTCCTCATGAAAAGCTTTCTCGTGCTCTCCCAGAGCTCATTTCCTCTCCCTCCTGCCATGAGGCAGGAACGCCCTCACCAGAGGCCAGCTCCTTGATTAAAGTATGTCTTGTTCCATTGCACTTTGGTTTATTGTGCTTCTCAGATACAGTGTTATTTGTAAATTGAACTTCTGGGGCAACCTTGCCTTAGCAGGTACAATACCATCATTTTTCCAACAGTTCAGAAAATAGCAATTTTTAGCAAAAAGTGTTTTAATTACAATATATTTATATATAGAGAGATTTTAAAAGATATGAAAGATATGCTACGGCACACTACATAACTTTTATTTGTAGTGGGAAAACAAAACTTCGATGTGACTTATTTTATTATCATATCCTCTTTATTACAGTTGTCTAGAACCAAACTTCTGAGGTATTCTTATGTTGGACTGCCCCAACTAAGTTACCCAATGTGTCATGTTCTTTTATAGCAGCCCTGGGTGCAGATGTGACTTTCAGTGTCACAGGCAGGGAAGCTGCCTCATGGTAGGTCAATGTCACACTGTCAGTGAGTAGCAGGGCTGGGACTGCACTCCGCATCTGATTTTAAAGATCATACTCTTCCTACCTACCCATGGTGCTCTTCAGTTTTATGGCAAAACCTTGCCCTTATCCCTGGTGGAAAACTGTGTAAACATTGTATAGGACTCAGGTTACAGTAGTGAAGTGTATTCAGTGCACCCAAACTGGAATTTTCTCTCTTTGTCTCTTTTTCTTTTTGCTTTTTAAAATCACTGTTTATTCCATTTGGTAGAGGGCTTTTTTCCCGTACAAATATTTGCAACAAGTTTGAATTCCCCAAAACCATACATAGACGATAAATACCATGCTATTAAAGTATTAAATTTGTACAAAAATACTTTACAGTTTAATACTTGTTTGTTACAAATAAAAATACATATTTAAGTGACTCATGATCTTTTCTTTTTCCTTAACATGACTCAGCTTTATACTTTCTTGCCCTGGCGGTTCTGACACATGATTGAATTTTATATATATTTATA